GCCTTACCACTGTCTGAGAAAAAAATTTTCTTCTAATATCTAATTTAAATCTTCCTTCTTTTTGTTAATCATTCTCCCTTGTTCTGTCACTGTCAGACTCTTATATTTTTATCCACCCAGTAAAGAGTCTTCCAACTTTTCTGTAGACAGTCTTCAGGTACTGAAAGACTTCTATAAGGTCTTCCACAGCCTTCTCTTCTCCAAGCTGTACAAGCCCAGCTCCCTCAACCTTTCCTCACAGGAGCAGTGTTCCAGACCTCTGATGATCTTTGTGGCCTCCTCTGGACTCCGTCCAACAACTCTATGTCTTTATTGTGCTGGAGACTGCAGGTCTCGATACAACACTCCAGATGGGGGCTCACAAGGGCAGAGTAGAAGGGGACAATCACCTCCTTTGATTTGCTAGCTAATCAGCTGATTTTGACCCACTCTGTACCAACATGCACTCTCATGCATGAACTATTTAAAGCCTGTACTTTTTCTCTACATCTTTGTTTGAAGTTTTGGTTACTTCAAGAAACTTAAAATGTGTGTTTAAATATAAGGAAATGTATGATGAATTATTAGGAATTAAACCGCTACTAACAAATGGCTTCCATCTGAATCTCTGAGAGGAAATACTGCAGAGGGTCTTTTCCTTCAGAAACAGTTGAAAAATTGAAAGAAATAAAATAAATAAAGAGCACAATGTTGTGGCACTGGGCTGGATTTGCCGGAGCAAAACAGTCCCATAAAATTAGCAGTATAGTTCCATAGGGTTGTGGCTTAGACAATTTAGCTGAAATACCATCATCATCATAAATATCTTAAATAAAAGTTTCTAAAGTGTCAGGTTTTGACAAATGTTAGCATCTTATAGAAAGAGATGCAACATCAGTCTAGGTATATTCCTAGGAAAAGGAAGCATGAGCCTTCATATGATCAGAAATTATGAGTTAAGAATTTTGACAGCAACAACAAAGGACCTCAAAACTTAATTTTATCCTTTCTCCAGCATAATTACTTTATATATACATAGAATCTATTGATACAACCCTCCATCTTTTTATTTACTTTTTTTTTTTTTTTTTAAACTGTGGTACTTCTGATGAGTTCTGCAATTAAGATTCTTGTCCTTGACCGAGTCTTATATCTGTAAGTATGTTACACAATATGATTAAAAAGGTAGTCTGACAATTAATATTAGCTAAATAAATCACACAGATTTTATTTTCCATTTATGAAGTGATTCTTTCATAGACAGTAAAGTTCTTGTCCATACTCACTGAATAAGCAGTATTTTTAGTCTATTATCTCCCATCATTATTGTAATGTTACTCAATAAAACTAAATGCTTTATTTGTTCAGCGGGGTGACAGTGTATTTCCTTAACAACACAACATCATTGTGCGCTTTAGGAAACAGCTGCACAAGCCAGTAAAGTGATGACACATACTTGGAATTTTCTCCATCTCTCAACCACATTTTGATGAATATCCCATGAAATGAATAAAAGCTATCTGCTGTAAATGTCAGGCAGGTGCTATGCAGCTGCACACCAAACACGGAAAGACTATTTCATGAGACTATTTCTGCTGTATCTATCACTTCATCTCTCCATCTCTGCCCTCTGTCTACCCATCTACATCTTTTCTGTCCAATATCTCTAAATCTCATCTCTAAATCTATTTCGGTCTAATTGTTCCCTTGATTCTACATTAACCTGGGTTTTATATTCTGCTATGACCATGTCATTCAATCTCTTTTCTTAGGATATTAAATATGCATTGTTTTTTGTTTGTTTGTTTTTTTTTTTAATATAAATTTGGTATTCATAGAAATGCCTTATTAGGGTACGTTCAAGAAAGTCAGATCACCTTTAGGCAACATTCAATTAAGCTACTCATCAAAGTGGGAATTAGTTCTGAATTTTGAATATCTTACTTTAATAATTTGCACAATATTTGTAGTGCAAAGAATTTTAAAAGAGAGATTTACCTTCACGTTCCACTGAATAGAGGGAAAGAAGAATCTTAATATCATCTTTCCTATAGCTTACTGCCAAGATCAGTGTATTGGGCTCGGCAGGCTGCCAACCAGTATGTGCTTGCTTCACTGAACCTTGACACAAGGTACGGCAATCTCTGTGTTTCCTGAAGAGCTGATAAAATGAAGGCAGTGTTGGTATGTGCTGTCCCTGTGGCTGTGCTTGGCAGGGGCTGATGATCATTTTTGGGTGGCGAGACTTGATGTCTGCAAGCATATTCGTCTCCATTGTTTGTGGAATATAAAATGTGCTTGAAATGAACTTTATCTACCTAGTATCTTCCCACAACCCATGAACTTGTCTGCTACTCCTAATATATACCTATATGAATATCAGTGTATGTGTATGTATTTATATGTATCTGTGCATGCTTATATAATTATTTATGTATTTACATATGTACATGCATTTGTTCTATATAATCTAGTAAATAATAAGCATGGTTCTGTGTACTTTCAGGAGAACCTCTGATACTGCACATAAATTTGCACTGTCAGCTTCTACCCATGTGGCTGCAGAACTGGGAGGAGTAGCTAGTCTGCCAGATGCTTGAGCTGCAGTTCAGAGGGACCTTGGTTAGCTGGAGAAATGCTCCAATTTATGAAGTTCAGCAAATGGAAATACCAAGACCTGCACCTGGGGAGGAGTGACCCAGCACTGCACACTGGAGACCAGCTGGCTGGAAAGCAGCTTTGGAGAGAAAACTCTGCGAGTTCTGTCAGGCATCAAGTTGATTATAAGCCAGCAAAGGGCCTTCACAGCAAAGTTCAAAAATGTCTTGGCTTGCAACAGGGCTGTAATGCCAGCAGGTCAAGGGAGGTGATCCTTCCTCTCTATTCAGCCCTGATGAGGCACATTTGGATTGCTGGATCTGTTTCTGGGCTCCCCAGTACAAGGGAGACATGAACATATTGGAGCAGATCCAGCAAAGGAGCACAAAGATGATGAAGAGAGTGGTGCATCTGACTTCTGAGGAAAGGCTGATTCATCCTGGAGAAAAAAAAAAAAAAAGGCTCAAGGGAAATCATGTCAATGTGTGTAAATACATAACAAGGATCTGGAGACAGTCTTTTCTCAGTTGTATTCTGTGGCAGGACTAGGGGCAATGAGCACAAACTGAAATAATTCTGCTTCAATGTCAGAACAGTTTTTTTTTTATTTTTTTTTTTTATGGTGAGGGCAGTTGAACACCAAACCAGATTGCAGTATTACAATGTCTTGATCCTTGGAAATATTTAAAACCTGACACAATCCACAGGACACAATTCTGTGGTTCTGTGAACAAATGTTCCCAGCATTTCTTATTTGTTCAGCATTTTGGCTTAATTTTGGATCTATCAATCACACTAGAAACTTGGAAACAGACATTTGCCTTAAATGCACTCAACAGACTAATAGAACTGATTTTGACCATTCAGTGTCTGAGAGACTCATGGATCAGCCTCCTTGCTGCTCCACGCTATCTGAACTTCTCCACTAGTACTCATCCTTCCCAGTTTTTGGTTTAGAGATTTTTATCAAGCAGTTGTATTATGGAGATTGTATCATCCTCACACTGTTTTGCAACGACACTGAGATAGTGGAAAAAAAAATAATACAAAAATAGACTATTTATTTCAGGCCTTTTTCCTTTGCAAAGTGACATTATTTTATTTAGTCACTCAAATTAATCCACAGTATACTGTGATGACACTTGGAATAAAAAAATTCTTCCTGCTAGAATCTTAATTGTCATCTGAGTTTGGCCTTACTGCCATTGATTATTTGCACTGAAAAACGTTGCCAGGAAGAATAGCAGTTCAGGTTTGCCCCATAAAGTCTGACAGAATTTTCCAATTTTTCACAGTAAATTTCTAAGTTCAACTACCTATAGTTTTGCTGAAGACTTATTTAAAATTGCACTTTCCATCCTCAGCTAGTATATAAATGTAAGGAGACTAGGGCAGTTAGCTGTCAGAAATAATTCCAATATAATAGTAGATTTTATAGATACAAAGATTAATCCTTGGTGTTATTCCTGATAACTTTTTTTTTTTTTTTAATAATTTCCTCTTCTTGGCATAAATAAATAAAAACATTGAAGCTTTTTTTGAAATACTTATTCTTCCCAATATGCATTAAAAATGCTAAAATTGCTAAAATTGCTAAAAATGCTAAAATTGTGTATTTTAAAAATACAGGTATGACAGTTGAACAGTAATTAGAACTGAAACCTAATTTGTGTTTATTTCTTATCATAGAATAAGGATACCAATTGCAGTTATTTGCTTTTCATCTGAAACAAGAAATCAACTTTATTTAAATAACAGAAGCAACATGATTATTTTTATCTATAGCACGTAAATGGCTGGTAAACACTTCATTTTTAGGGGCTTGCCATATACATTTTTCATTATAATTTATGAGATAAAATCAACTAAACAGAGGTGCAAATAAATGTTTTCCTATTGCTTCTATTCGTCATCCTATCGCGTTGTTATTATCATCGTTTTTTGTTTTTTGTTTTTTGTTTTTTTTTAATATACATAAAACTGAATATAGGTCTCTCCTTTTCTTCACACTGAAGAAAAAGAATTTTTACTAATGTGCAAAGATTTCAAGCAGAAGTGCTCATGGACAAGCTTTCACTCATCTCCTGCAGATGAAAACTGTTCCACTTAACAGATAAGGAATTTATGTCTTTTTCAATCCTGAAATATATTGAATTCATACAGTATTCCTGAATATGTGTCCGTCAGCAGCACAACTTGTCTTCCAAACTCTACACTGGTTTCAAAGCCTTTGAGATATTCTATAGACTGAACCAAGGAGAACTAAATTAACTCTTTAATTCTAGGCTCAGAGATAGCTCAGTTCCTCTGGAATAAACACACACTTTACAGTGAAGTGTCACTTCTACATGTGATGAAAGTTTCTCCAAGGAGAGGCAGTTATATTCAATGTGGATTTTACTCACTTCCACACGAGACTGTAATCCCAGTGTCATTACTGTTCTCATACTCAGATTTCTCTGCATTTATCTTTCCCAAAATGGGCACCATTTCCAGCAACTGGCAATGTGATTGAAGTAACAAAAGTGGTTAAAATTGCTATTTATCATTTTTATTCCTACGAAAAAAAAAAAAAAACAAACCAAACAGGACTCAGTAAAGGCTGAGAGATCAAAGTAAATGCACAGGAAAGAGTCTAAAGAAATTAATACAAATTATTTAAGGTAAAATGTCTACCTATATATCTACTTATCTATTTATTATATAACAGTCTTTTGCCTTAATTGGTCTACAAAGTTTTAGGATTCTATAATCATCACTGGAAAGATAATTTGATACTTTCCTCTCCTTACAGTATGAAAATTTCAAGCAAATTTACACTGTTGTAACTTCAACTCATGAGGCTTTTTCTATCTCCAGTGTGAAGTAAAAACTGCACCAAATATTTCTTTTTATTTTTCAGAAAATTTTTCTATAATTGAAAGATGTTTTTAAGTTTCTCCTCCACTTCTTTTATTTGCACTTAAAAGCAAAACAAAACATCCAGTTTGCATTTCCTTCTAGGTCATTATAATCAGCTTTCTGATTACACTTGCTGCTGACCACTAGACCCTCTCCAGAAGTGCAGTGCCTTTCAGGAGCACATGCAGAACTCATGTCTGCCTGAATTCACATTCTCTTCTAAGTGGAAGAAATTCCTGAACATCTTCTATACAGTCTATCTGTTCGCTATTGCCAATCTGATGTTAGCTGTTTTGTAATATATGTCGCCATCAATTTACATTTACTGTGATCCACCATAGCTTCAAAAGCTTTTACAGTACTATTTTTCCAAACATTTGTTTTCCTGTTATGTTTATACTGTTTATGTTTCCTGTTTATGTTTATTGTCCCATTAATTGCATGTCATTTATACAATTTCTCAGTGTCACTTTTGATGTCAAGAATGTATTCAATTTATCAAGGTTATTTGGGTTTTAATCCTGTCCCATAATACATTTGCAATTCAAGGTTGATATAAGTTCAGATTTCAAAAACATATTTTTTTTCTACTGCATAAGTTATTTGACGTGCCCACTGGAGAGTAGCAGACCCACCACAGAGCCCTGCAGATTTCATGCTTATGTATCTATATTTCCAGATCAAATTTGTTTAATACTGGGGTTAACTTCCAATTAATTTCATGCAAATAATTATTTTAACTTACTCTGAACCTTTTAATGAAATTAGACTAGAAAACTAAGTCAAAAGCTTAAAAACCACAGATGTATCATATATTTTTTAGTTTTTCTTTTGCAAACAGGTTGTTATTCTATTGTGAAAGGTCATTTGATGGGCTTGACAACTTTTTTTTCATTACAAATCTAAAGAGTTGAATACTTACAATCGTTTCATTTATTCTAGTGTCATTCTACAGCTGAAATAAGTTTTCACTGGACAATAAATTACTGAAGATTCTTTTCTGAGCATTACACTTCATATTCTCTTTTTGTTCCTTTGGAGCCCAGCTAACATAATCACTAGATTTTCTGCTGTTACTCTAGAAAATGCTGTAAGGAGCCTGAGGAGGATTTCAACAAGGTATCAAATTATTTGAAAACATTTAACTTATTTAGATAACCTCAGACTTACTCTTTCCTATGCCAATTGACTTCATCTTCTTTGATATTGATTTTGTGTTAGCTCTCTAATCGTGATTGGTGAAGTCTGATGCCAGAAAAACATCAAACTCTTTAGATTTGTTGGCAACATCTGTCCTTAGCCTTCCACCTTCATTAACCAGACTAGATCCTATGACTTAAAAAGTTACAGATTGCTTTCTTGATACTCTTGTCTTGCTACCATTTCATAACAACAGTACAATATTATTCTGTACTTTGGTCTTTTTGAATCTTCCACTTCATGTTTATGACACACTGATGTTTTTCATGTTTGTCATTAACAATTTAAACAGTTTGTATTCTATGTTCATTTATTTCTTCAGAATGAAGTATTGAAAGAACTAACCTGAACTTAGCCTCTCACTATTAATATTGCAAGTTAGATATTAAGGAAAATATGAAATGGAAATTATAACTCAGAATAACTGTCTTACATCTAACGGGAAACAAAAAGAGATGAGGGAGGAATAAGCTTGTGAAGGACTAAAGAAGTCTCTTCTGGTTTGTAAGGCTGTTGAAGACAGTAGAGAACCCTTTAAACTAGAATGTTGCATCAATCTATGAGATGGCTGCTCTTCCGTAGAACTTGTTCATCTTTTTTGTCCCTTTATTTAAGAAACTGTTAACTCCCTTGGAACTTCTTTCCTATACTTGTGTTTCCTATGTAGGTCTTATCAGTCCTTTTGAGTTAAGAAGGTCCCCTTTCCTGAAATCCACTGTCCTTTTTTCCACTGCTGCACCCATATCCATTATTCTCACTTAAGTTGCTTCCCCCTTTCCCACTTTCAGTCATTTTCTCCTTCCTAGTCAGAATCAAATCCAGAAGAGATTTGATTATCACTCAGAACAATTTAAAATATTTACTATATGAGACTTTAAGAACTTTGTTATCCAGCCTTTGTCCATGGGCAGTGTAGGGAGACATTTTCAGAGGCAATTCTTCCCACCCTGTAATAGCAGTCAAAGACAGGTGGGAGAGACTGATAACAATGTGCTTACCTGGCTGGTTTAAATTAGATGTCCAACTATGCAGTAGCTAAATTTAAATAAAATATACACTGCTATACATTCTCTGTGTCCTGTTGTATTTCTTTCCCAAAGATGCCCTTTCCTCCTTCTATTATTACCCTGGAGAATTCCAACAGGTCTGTCTCCCACCAGATTCCAGATCTCACAGTGAACATGTGCATCCTGCATCATATAAGGCAAAATACTTTGCACATATCTACAACTGATTCAGTCATTTCCTTCTTGTCCCTCTTATGACCCTATTATGAATACCTCCTCTCCCCTTCAGGAAACCCAAGTCCTCTAAAACTGCACCATCTGTATAGACATATATTTATCTTCAGGATGTGTCTGTCCTTGCTCAGACTTTTACCCTTCTCTGATGGAATTGATAAGAATACCAGCTGAGGCTCCTATTATCACCAGTCCAGGAGCTTTGCTGTTTCTTATGGCATTCTCCAGCTAGTTCTTAGAATGGTAGTACTATTTCCCAAGTGAATGAGTCACTTGGAAGAGGTTTCAGATCGCTGAATGAGCCTTGGTAAACTCTTGCAATAGCTCTGATCTGTGCAGAACCTCTCCATAAGTGTTGGGTCATACCACCAAATGGATGTTTCTGTTACTGAGAGAAGTGAGTCACCAGCCACTGTCACCCTTCATTTTCTCTTGTGAGCAGAGGTCATGAACCACTCAGCCGTCAGAGCATGTGGTTTGTCTTCCCTCGGCACTGCAGTTGGTTTCCCGCTCATTGCCAAGAGTTTACTACTTTTTTTTTTCTTTTTAAAGCCTAATAGATTGCCAGCTGAAGCTGAAGTTCTGTCTGCCAGCAACAGTAGATCACAGCCAGCTTTCTCTCTGTAGAGAAATATGTTCCTTTTCATTCATGGGGCTTCTGCAGACCTCAGCTTCTTTGCTCTCGGAGACTCCATGTCCGTTACATTTATGAAGTCTTTATGTTCCCTTATGCTTCTCAGAACACCCTCCCTTCCTGTAATTTTTCCATTTGGATTCTAGGAAATTACACTTCCTGGCTCTCTGGATTCTGCTACAGACCATGTTCATTGAAAATCCAGATTGACCCAGATAAAAGCATCTACAGTTGTGATCTTGGTCTGGACACAGCTCCCCTGAGGGCAGGTAGAGGAAAAGCTGAATGCTGAGTCAGCTCTAGCGAGGAGAAATTTCTCAATTTTATACCTTCTTTTTCCATAGCTCCATAAACTTTCTGAAGCCTGGTTTATTCCAATTTCCTTATGAATTTCTCTTTGTTGCCATCTGTTGCTGGTTAACTGATCCCAAATCTTCTACAGGAAAGGGGTTTTCAAAGTTCCTGAGTTAATACTTCAAAGCTGAAACCGAATTTTAAATCAAAACATGTTACATTCTCAGCTAATGACCTGAAAAGATTTTAATTTACACTTTTCTCAGGTGGTGGCTAACCCCCTTGAGGGGCTGTCTCTGAGCCACCAGAGTCAGGATCTGATGAACAGTCTGGGCTAAACCACTCTGCTTAAGACCTCATTCATTTCTAGGACACACTTGTCCACTGAGTTCAGCAGCAGCTTTTCTACATGTCTCCAGGACTGAGCTTATCTTCATATCTATTCTTTGGTAGCTCCTCAGCAGGTACCCTTCATGAGGCAAATGAAGAAAAACAAGATGAACAGTTTCTGGCAGGCAATGGAGAGGACTTTGAAGGAAAGCTGCATCTGGGTCAAAAAGAAACCATTGAGGTCAATGGTACGGGGATTCAATTGAAAGTTAACTGTGAAATAGCATGATGTAAGACTAGAATGGCTATTGTTTCTGTCAGAAAACTCAGCAAAGTAGCTTGAGAGGTTCCAAAAATCTCAAATTCTAAAAAATCCACATGGATCTTTCATCCATCATCTAAATGCTGGGGATGTGATGACAGCGGAAGAGAAGAGAAATTTGAGACATTACAAAAAATAGTAGCAGAGTGGCAAAGCTTATTTTTCCAGCTTGCTGTGCAGTTATTTTTCTATTATAAAAAAAAAGAGCGAGGGTTTTTTTTTGTTTTTGTTTTTGTTTTTTGGTTTTTTGTTTTGTTTTGTTTTGTAGTATAATATGTTTTCCAGAACAAGGTGCAGTACACATTCTCCTTTTTTTTTTCTGCTGTCGTATTCTGCATTCTAACATACATCAGTATATTTTCATCTACTTAGGCCTGACTGAGGTTTCTAAATGCTTTCATTGTTGCAGAGCTATCAGTGATCCTCGTATACATGTAAGCAAACAGCTATATACAGAATAGCTGCTGCTAAATGTTATTCATAGACAGAAGACAGAGAGAAAAAAAAATATTTTACTTTAATTCCAGAAAAAATAGTTACTATTTTGTTCTGCTTTAAATTTTACCTTTAGTATTGC